CGACCGGCCCGCAGCGCTCGGCGATCCGGCGTTCGGGTCTTTGTAAGGCCGTTTCTTTTCTCATTCGCTGATCTGCCAGGAAAAGAGACTCGCTGTTGGCGCTTCGGCCTCTTGTTCATTGAGAAAAAAAAAGGAAATACTCCGCGTGCGCGTCTAGAAGAGGGGTCGTCTCCAGCGCTGAGCCCGAGTGTTCAGCGGCTGGGGGGACTTGGCTGCGAATTTTCCGCTCGGTTTTTCTCCTCCGATTGCTCGGAAGCTGCACCGGAGCAGAGTTTGGGCAGACGGGAAGAAAGTTTGCATCGGGACTGGACTTATTTGCACATCGCAGAAAGAAGAGAATCCAAGGGAGAGGGGTTGGTGCAAAGCCGCGATCACGGTGAGGCGCGTTTGGCTCTTCGGGAGCCGGGGCTGGCGCGCTGCGGGCAACATGGAGTAGGTGCAGCCGGGGGGAGTGGGCTGTGCCTCTGCCTGAGCCTTCAGGCTGTCGGCGAGGTTCGGGGACCCACTGCCCGCGGTCGCCCTGCCCCGGGGCACGGGCTGGGGCTGCCAAGCGCGCTCGGTGCAGTGTCCCCAGCCAGCCGACCCAGACCCCGCGCAGCCGCGCTCTAGGGGGCTGGGGGCGGAGGACGCCTGGTCTTGGTTTTGCCCCAAACCCTGCCTTGGCCGCGGGTTTGGCGCTGAGAGCGGGAGAGGGAGGGCAAACACTTTTTGTTTTCTAGGTCGCCTTTGCAGGCGCTCGCATTTCTAACCTGTTCCTCCTCTGGGGAAGGCAAAAGTTCCGGGCGAGCCTGACCTGCGGCGGAGGCGCCGGTGGGGCTGGGTTGCTCGCCTCACCGGGACCGGAGACCCGCGGGTGGAAAAGCGACAGTGCGGGGCGGAGGGAGTCCCCGCCTCTGTTCCGTGTGGACAGAATCTAACCGGGTGCTGGTGGGAGCGTCGCCCAGCCTGGCGCCGCGTCTCTGCGGCTCGGAAGTGCAGCTTTCTCTTTTTTCCGTCCTTCGTGGTCGGTGTAGGTCACACTTTTTTTTTTTTGGACCTAGCACAGGAAGTCATCAAGTGGTCTCGATCATTTTCCATTGCCTACAAGTAGGTAGCAAAAAGAAGCTAGCTTTTTTTTTTTCTCCGTTGGGGTTGCAGGAGTTTTTTTTCTTTCTTTCTTTCTTTCTTTTTTTTTTTAAATCTTGTGCATTTTTTACAAAGCGGTTTCTGTGTTGGTTTGCCCCACCCTAGTGCTGAAGTCCTTTCCCCTTAATCCTTAGTCTGATCACACACTGTTCTTAATGGGGGTTTCAAAGCACTTTCAAAGGGAAGGGAGGACCTGGGAGAGCGCAGACGCTGGCGGGGGCGGGGGGCTGCGAAGGAGGAGGGCAGGAATCGTCAGAAATCGAGGGTTTTTTCCTCCCAGTGATGCTGCTTGGCATAGCTAACAAAGCTGTACTGAAAGTTTCCAGCACAGGAATCTAGGTCTGCATGCGCGGCTTGTATAGGTCTCTGAAAAAAGTTAATCTTTTTATTATCTGTAAGAAGTAGATCTCTTCCTTCGCGATCTCCAAGGAGGCTGGCGAGTGCGGACTGCAGGCAGTGCTCCTGGGGTCGGTGTACGGTGGAGTCGCTGTGCGCGCGTGGGGTTCAGCACTGTCAGGGCCCTGTGCCCGGGGCCGGCTTTCTTCCCCGGGGACTTGGGTTTGGAAACCTGTGCTGGACGTTGGGGGGACCTTTCCAAAACCCCCGGTGGTGGGCTGTGTGACCTCCGCGGGGGTGGGGACAGTGCAGTGGCTCCGTCTCGGGGTGGCAGGCGGGTCTCGGAGTGGGGGGAACTTCAGCCGGGGAGAGGGAGGCGGGGAAGTGTGCTCGTGCGCTGCAGGACACGTCCCCTTCCGAGGCGCCCGCTCCCGCGCCCCCGCCTGCTCGGGAGTGTGCGCTGGGGGTACCCGGCCCCTAAGCAGCGTCAGTCGGCCTGGAGAAAAGTCCCCAGGGGTTCTGGCTGTGTCCCACCTGCTGGGGACGGTGTTGGGGCGCAGATAGAGCCGATAAAGGGAGTGAAAGCAGAGAAGCGTTGTCTTGTCTGCCATTCTGTTGGAGGTGAGCAGATCCGGTTTCTACCTCTGCCTTGTTCTGAACTAGGAGGCGTTTGTCACCTGCCTTGTTCGCGGTAGTTCTTTTCTGAAAATCAGAGATTGGGTAAAGGTCTACTTTTACCTGTTTTACTTTATTTCCGTGTAGGCTTGGGACATGGGGATGATAGTCTTGAAACCTAAATAGACTGCGGTTTAGGGAATTACTTGACAGAATGCTAGGTTTTCAATGTGACACTTGAATTTGTTAAAAAAAAAAAAAAAAAAAAAAAAACTTCCTATGATTAAGAATTGGTTTATGTTCTCGGCCATTAGTTTTTTTTAAAAAAGTAAGACTGACAGATTTTATTTCTAAAACAGATACAACAACCTTTGAGATACAGATTCTAAGGTGTTCTAAGCTCTCGATCTGGAGAATATTTGATTCTGAAGTTGAGAAATTGAAAATAAGTCCCTGTCTTGTTGCTTGTTATATGCTTTCATGTTTTCTGGTACCTAATAGGATTTGAGGTGATTTGTTTTTAATCCTATAACTTTGTGTTACCATATAGTTAAAATAATGACTGTGACAAACTTGGGCCAGTTGCAAGCTTTGAACAGGTATTTGAATTTTTGAAAATGTCAGAAGCAGTATTATGTTCCAGCATTACTTTCTTGCAGTTTTTACACTGAACCTGAACCTTCCCGACTGCATGTTTATTTGAATAAGGGATTGTTACTTAAGTGATTCAGACAAAGATCAGCTTTGTGTCACTGCACATCACGGGGTTACAGGATTGTCAGTGCCCAGTGGTAATTTTTACCTTTCATTATGTGCGTTGATCGTAAGCCTGTTCTCAGACCTCTGCAGGGCCACCCCAGTTCAAATCCTGTCTCTAGGGGATGTGCGAAGTGCAGCATCAACTCGGGTGGGTGGAGAGTGGGCAGCATCTTAGTGTAAACTGTTCTTTCCTCTTGGTTTCTCCAGGAGTTCCGATGTGTTCTAAGCCTGCCGGAGTGACCACACTTCCAAGACCCGATGGAGACCAGAGCTCAGAGTGCTAATGGGTCGCAGCCTTTGCTGCAGGCACCCCGAGACGGTGGCAGGCAGCGAGGGGAGCCCGACCCCAGAGATGCCCTCTCCCAGCAGGTACATGTGCTGTCTTTGGATCAGATCAGAGCCATCCGAAACACCAATGAGTACACGGAGGGGCCCACTGTGGTCCCCAGACCCGGGCTCAAGCCTGCTGCTCCTCGCCCCTCCACTCAGCACAAACACGAGAGACTCCACGGCCTGCCTGAGCACCGCCAACCTCCTAGGCTCCAGCACTCGCAAGTCCATTCCTCTGTGCGGGGAGCCCCTCTGTCCAGGTCCATCAGCACAGTCAGCTCAGGGTCGCGGAGCAGTACAAGGACAAGTACCAGCAGCAGCTCCTCTGAACAGAGACTGCTGGGATCGTCTTTCTCCTCGGGACCACTTACTGATGGGATAATCCGAGTGCAGCCCAAATCTGAGCTCAAGCCAGGCGAGCTAAAGCCCCTGAGCAAGGAAGATCTGGGGTTGCACGCCTACAGGTGTGAGGACTGCGGCAAGTGCAAATGTAAGGAGTGCACCTACCCGAGGCCCCTGCCATCCGACTGGATCTGCGACAAGCAGTGCCTTTGCTCGGCCCAGAACGTAATTGACTATGGGACTTGTGTGTGCTGTGTGAAAGGTCTCTTCTATCACTGTTCTAACGATGACGAGGACAACTGTGCTGACAACCCGTGCTCTTGCAGCCAGTCTCACTGTTGTACACGATGGTCAGCCATGGGTGTCATGTCCCTCTTTTTGCCTTGTTTATGGTGTTACCTTCCAGCCAAGGGTTGCCTTAAATTGTGTCAGGGTTGTTATGATCGGGTGAACAGGCCTGGATGTCGTTGTAAAAACTCCAACACAGTTTGCTGCAAAGTTCCCGCAGTCCCACCCAGGAACTTTGAAAAACCAACATAGCATTATTAATCAGGAATACTATAGTAATAAGGATTTTTTTTTTTTTAACACGCAGATGCAACCAACTAAACAGTTGTAATCTTGGCACTGTTAATAGAGGGTTGGGATATTCTTTGCTGTTTGCAGTGAGATGCTTTTTGTCCATGTGCCATTTTAACTGTCGTGCTTGTTAGAATCAACTAATGGAGCTCAAAGTGAGGGGTACAGAACTTGGTGACCCACATACTGCATAAGCTAAAGCAACAGACACTCCTAGGCAAAGCTTTTGTTTGTGAATAGTCTTCGCAAGATTTGTAAATTAGCAGATGACTTTTTTTCCATTGTTTTCTCCAGAGATAATGTGCTATATTTTTGTATATACAATAATATTTGCAACTGTGAAAAACAAGTTGTGCCATACTGCATGGCACAGTCACAAAATATTATACTAATATGTTGTACATTCAGAAGAATGTGAATCAATCAGTATGTTTTTAGATTGTATTTTGCCTTACAGAAAGCCTTTATTGTAAGACTCTGATTTCCCTTTGGACTTCATGTATATTGTACAGTTACAGTAAAATTCAACCTTTATTTTCTAATTTTTTCAACATATTGTTTAGTGTAAAGAATATTTATTTGAAGTTTTATTATTTTATAAAAAAGAATATTTATTTTAAGAGGCATCTTACAAATTTTGCCCCTTTTATGAGGATGTGATAGTTGCTGCCAATGGGGTTACAGATGCATATGTTCAATATAAAATAGAAAATATATTAACGTTTGAAATTAAACAGCTGTTTCGTCTCATTTTACCTTTTCTTTGTTTCTTTAAAGTGCAAGAAACTGCATTTTGTGTTAAGGCTAGCATTTTAATGAAAGAGTTTTTCTTACCTGCAAGGTTATTTTTATCTTATGAACGCTGCTATAATGTAAGGTTGGATTTGATGATTTTTTCAGAGGTAATTCTACCCATTAAGAGAGAAATGCCTGGACACTTGACTCTGTTGAATCATTTGTGAACTTGTTTTAACTGTATCAGTGCCTCTGCTTCTCCCTTTGTTTTTGCAGATTTGTTGACTTAGCTTTGATATGCCTTTGTTATGCAAGGGTTTTCTTTTTTTAATTGGAGCTGGTTTACTTAAGATTTCTCAAAAGATTAACAATTAGATGTTTCTGAGCCTACAGTATGAAGAATGAGTGCCTTGAAGATAATTCAAAACTAGAGGAACAAGTTTCGTTCAACAAACATTTACTGAATGCTGTCTGCCTTGAGCATAGGACATATATACACAGAGATCAGTCCTTATAATCGAGGCAAAAAAATGTTTTCTTAGCTGACCATGACACTTTTCTCGGCTACTTGGTTTTAGGCACTGAAGATTATCACCATCGCACCGGATTTCTTGTGTTAAAAAAGACGTGAAAAATGTAACATTTTGATTCGGTTGTGATATCGTGACATTTCACCCTATATTGATCTTACAGTGCATCCCAAAGTAGGGCAACCTAAAGCCCTGACTTATTTAATCAGATTATCTAGAAAAGCATTAAATTTTACTCTGGGAAAAAGATGCAGTATGGCAGAAGTCCGTGTGTTTCGAGTTGTCTTTTGGGAACAAAGAACCAGCAAGCTGCCGCAAGCCCATCTTGACAAATACTTGGTTTTCTTAAGTCACTTGATTAGTCACTTTGTGGCTGATGATTTTTTTTTCCAAAAGCTCAAACTTTTGCTGCCAAGAGTCACCGGAAGTCTAGGAAATGATTTACTTGTCATTATTGTTTAATCTCTTGTTTCCTGTTCTCTTGGGTTAAAAGGCCTTAGTACAGGTTGTCTTTTGTTTTGTTTTTAAAAATTGGCTTTCAAGGAACCATCCAGCCTCCTAAACTCACACAGTGCTGTGAGGACCTTCAGTTCCTGTGAATGTTCTCCAGCAACACTAGATTAGATTAATTTAGAGATTATTTACTCTTCAGCTTCGACTTCGGGGTGCTGCATGAATGTTCATTCTAATTTGGTTAAATTTTGCTCAGGTGATCTCAGGAAGCATTGGAATGTTGAATAATAGGTAGCGTTTCTTATTCAGTGTAGTTTTCAAGACTTGGAAAAGAAAAAATTTTTGACTAATTGGCTTTGCTTATGCATTGACAGAATTTTTTTTGATACAGAAATTGTGAGTTGTTTTTTTTTTTTTTTTCCCTGGACTAGGTAAACAGTTTTCAAAGTGTTCTGTAGACAAAGTGCAGCAGATGCCCTTCGGGTGTTTATTGAAAGGGTAAATTACAAACTTTTCCCCATAGCTACTGAACTGCAATTTCTAATGACACTGCCTGGAAATTAGCATTTTTTATCATTCCACAAGTGGTTTGTGCAGTCTGGAACTGCTGACCTAAGAATAGCTTTCTAATAGAGCTTTTTTTTTTTAATGTACTCTGCCATAAAGTGTAACTGACTGATGTGAATATAAAGTGTAATTGTCCACTGAGGTTAGAAGAGGATTTGGTATATTACTCCTGGTGGAAACAACTACTTTAAAGACAAATAAGGCTGGGGATATATAGCTCAGTGGCACAGCACCTGCCTGGCAAGGGCAAGGTCCTGAGTTCGACTTCTGGTACCAAAAAAAAAACAAACTTTAAAGACAAATAGGAAAGTTGAAATTCCTCAAGAAGCTCCCAACCAATTACATGCTGAGTTTACAAACCAGTTTAGAATTCATTTTCAGAACATGTAAAGTTAAAGGTTTGTCTAAATAGATTGAAAAAAACTGGTGTTCACTCCTTCAGTGTGCTAAAAAGATTTTAAACGTTGCAAATTATTACCTCACTTGGGAACAAATATGGGGGAAACAGCCTCAGGTTTTTTAAGAGAAAGTTGGAAAGTCATGTCGCTAATGCACTGGGTTTATACCCAGTAGCCTTTATGTTGATGTCACAGATTGAAAGTGTAATGATGCTACAAACATCACTGCTGAGTAGGGGAAATTTTGAGAAAATTTTTGTTTTCGCTTTTTTGTGTTTCTAAAATTACATGCTCTGTGTTTGAGAGTCATTTAAGAATTACAACTTGGTTGTCGTTACTTAAAACATTTCATGTATGTGTTTTGAGGAGATTTTAAGGCCCTGCCAAATTTCTGCCAGGTTGGAGCATGCTCTGGGATTGTCTGCAAAGAGAAAGCCAAAACCTACAAGAAGTGATCCCAACCAAACTTTCTGCATAACTTACTTCACTTTTCTTGCATCTCAAGGACTACCTGACTCCTGGTTATGTAAGTTAAGGTACTGATGACAGATAAATGAATTGTTCTCCACAGTCCTGGGAGATGGCTGATAAGCAGTTCCTGAGTCTGATTAGCTTTTGAGCACACAGGTCAAAATTTCCAGAAGTTTAATCCTTTAGAGTTTCACTTACACTTACATGCACACTTGGCTATTTGCTTTCTTCTAGATGCGTGAAAACTAGAATGTAGGTTCAAAAGTCTCAGCTTTGAAAATGGGCTGAACTGTAGATCAAAAGCAAGTTTGTTATTGTGTGAATAATAATTTACCCTATTTTAGAAAGAAAACTATAAAAGTAGGTTATTCGCAATTATGTCAATATATCAGTATTAGTATTAGTCTTGTTTACAACTAAGGTAAAAATTATATTAATTTTGATTATAATTTGGATTAACACCTTTTCTGGGATTGGCTGAGTGTATCCCCTTTGAGGGATGAGCAGAACTTTAGCCAGACCTACCTGATTTGATTGAAAACAACATCACAATGAAGCTACACATTTGGAATATTTCCGCACTGGTTTGGCCATTTTCAGGAGGAAAGAGCAGATCATGTATATCCTATGCTTTGGATTTTCTTTGACTAATGCACTATGATCTTGTATCATGAAAGACTACATGTGAATAAGGAAATGTGAATTTACTCAGTACTGTTATTTCTAATCAAAATGCTTATCTCAAGAGAGAGATAGAAAAAAGTTAAATTTTTATCATGCCTGGCAAATACTTTGCATCTTTATTTAATACTGTATTTTTTTTTAACTTCAAGGTTTCTTTGTTTTGTTTTGAGACAGGATCCTGCTATAGTTCAAGCTGGTCTGGAACTCACTATGTAGCTCAAGCTGGCCTCGAACTCACAGTGATCATCCTGCCTCAGCCTCCCAAGTGCTAGGATTATAGGCATGCACCACCACACCTGGCTAATTTAAAGAATTTTTAAGAGCCAATCTTGTTTGGCAACTCAGACTTTTTAAATAAACTATTAAAGGAGATTAGAATGAAGTCTTGGCCTCTGGCTTGGCTAGATAGGGCATGTAAGACTTCAGTATATCCTGCAAGGGTTTATGTTTCAAAACAGTTGCTAATACACAGAAGAATAAATAATTTAGCGTAATATAAGGGCTCACTTGGAATGGAATGTGGGCACTAACATTATTTAGCATTTCAATTGAAATACGTTTTGAATGCCTACTGCCTATGAATCACAGGGCTAGTTGATCTAATGCAAAGCATATAATTTCTGCTCTGAAGAGAGGAATCCTAACACGTACAAGAAAGGCGCTGTGACAGTATAGACATTGCGGGAAGCAAGAGTGCATTCTCAGTAGTGGATCTGGTCTTACACCTTTGCAATGAGTACAGATATTTAAATAGTCAAAGAGATTTCACTAAGGAAGTTGCAACTGAACTAATAGTATTAAATAAAACTATATCTACCTTACATGCTCATATTTCATAGCCTACATGAAATGCTCATATTTCATAGCCTAAATGTCACATATATATATAGTGCTGGGAATCAAACTCAGGGCCTTGCACTTGCCAGGCAGGTGCTGTGCACTAAGCTGTATCCCCAGCCTGGATAACTGAATTTTTTTTTTTTGAGACAGTCTCACTGTGGTACAGACTGGCCTTGAACTTCCTATGTAGCCTAGGCTGGTCTTGAACTTACAGCACTCCTTCCTCAGCCTCCTGAGTGCTGGGATGACTACTGTGCTTATTCTTAATTTTGGAATACATGATTCACTAAGAAATACTTAGAAATACTCAATACTCAATATTCACCTTAGAAATACTCAATTTTTTAAAAATACATTTTCAAGATAATATAACTAAGAATTAAGTTGAAAAGATTCGTCTGTTCTTGTTCTTCCAGTTCTTGCT